TGTAGAAAATGAAAATTTGTACCAAACAAGCCTTAGTCACCTTTCAATGGTTCCCTTAATTACGTGCAAGGAATTACCCTATTGAGTAATAGGAAGCAGGCTACTACCCAAAAATGCCCTGACAGTAGGTTCCTTCGATGTTGGAGCTCAAAGTCCTTCCTTGCTCGTTCCTAGGAATTTAGTAACATGACCAGTAGTAGACCCCTTCCATCCTTCTCTCCTAGAAGATTGTTACCTTCGTAAAAACAATTTGCATTTGTGCAATGCAGACACATATTTCATTCTCTTAACATTCCGGAACACAGTTTTTACAAGTACAAGTCCATGAATAATCTTTATGTAGTGTTTGGTATCCAAAATGTCATAAACACGTTTACATCCGTGCCAAGACTTCACTAAGAAAGAAAAAGGTCTCGCACAACAACAGTAATAAGATAAATCAAATAAAGAAATTTGACCATCTGTAGCAAGTCCAAAACATGGGCACATCATAGTCAAGAAGTTTATTTAAAATCGGTTAAGGGCACTCTAACAACAACTAACGGTAAGGAAATAAAATCAATATGTGCTTGCAGATAGGAAGGCCAATTTCTGTGCAGTACGGCACGTAAACACAATAAAACGGAAGACATACCTGGCCGGAGGCAGCAGCAGAGGTGGAGTAAAAGCGGGTGAGAATTTGGGTCGAAACCAGACCTGATGAGAAGTTGGTAGGAATGGTGGGAGCTCCAAATCCACAAGAACCATTGGTGCGAGCGGGAAAAGTTGGGTATCGAGAAGAAAGTACTTTAGAGGAGCGATGAGAGAGTGCGAGGTCTCCAGAGCGATAGCGAGAGGCCCTGAGAGCGGCCACGGCGTACCTGCTCAGCCTCACCGCAGAGGAGGTCCTCGAAGTCGCCATCAACGAAAAGTAAAAATCCAAAGTGTACTCAGAAGTTTTATTCCTTTAATTTGTGTTTGGAGTATATTTATTGGTGTAGTGGCGATTGAATTTCGACCTGAAAGGGAAAGGAAGCTTGAGGAAGAGGCAAATGCCGTAAGCTGTAGAAGTTTGTAGAACTTGTTCATACGGCCCCTGCGCCCATTTTAATTTTAATATTAATACATATTTTTTATTCATTTCATATTTTTGAATAATATAATATTACACGTAGATCATAATCCAAAGTAATACTATTGATTATAATTTTACTATGCATTTGTTAAATTTCTTCCAGTAAAGTAGCAAAATTCAAAAAATAAAGAACATTTCTTATTGTCGAGAGTACCGCTGATTTTTTATTTTTTTAATATATTATTATTTATTATGTATTGTTATTAACAAATATGGATTATTTTCATTTAAACAATTATTTAATTTATAGGTATATTAAAAAAATATAAGAAAAAAAATTATATTTCAACTATATCAATTATTTTTTTAATCTGTATGAAAATGAAAACGAACGTACTTTTATAGGACGCAAGAAGTAAATAAAAACAATTCTCGTGTCCTCTGTTGGGCATTTGCGTGCTCCACAGCAATCAGTAAGGAAACAATACATAAACAAAGTTTTTAAGTATCACTATTTCAAAATTAATGATAGAGGTTTTAAATTTCAAAAATCAAAATTTCATTAAAATTTATTTATGATTTAATTAATTATTTATATATTTAATTAATAAATATATAAAGGTCACAGATCTAACAATTTGGTTATAATTCAAAAATTTTATACGTCACGGTTCATTCATCGGTCACAAATTAAAAATTTAAATGTCACATTTTGTTCATCAGTCACAAATCACAATATTTAAGTCACACAACTTATTTTATGATCACAAAACATCAAATTATAAGTCACATATCACTTTTATTGGTCACAACTCGATTATAACATAATAAATTGTGAGTCACATTCACAATTTTTAGGCCACACATTATTAATTTGTCAAAATCAACCAAATAATTGATCACAATCAACCAAACAATTGGTCACAGACATCCACCACCATCGTAATGACACCGCACACACCTAACCGCAACCGTCATCGCACGCACGCACACACCCCCATTAGCAGTTCATTCACCTACAGTACCACACGTGCACACACCCATCGCATCGCACGCGCACACACACCAGTTCATTCACCCACAGCATCGCAACCACGACCCCAACAAAAAAAATACCCAACCCCACAGCCACCCCCCCGCACAATTACCCCAAACAGCATCCACAAGTTACAACCACCACCTCATCAAATCAACCATCTTCTTCACGTCTAACACACCACACCACAACCATCAACACAACGCAACACAACACAACACAACACAGCACAACACAACGGATGAAGAGAAAACAGAAAGAATTTGAAGCGTGCTGCGCACGAAGCAGTGGTAATTGGCTGCATCGCTGTTGCTTCGTGTGCAGAGGCGTTTCGCTTTGCCGTTGATCATGAAACACAAACGACGACTCTGAGCCTGTCTCGCATGTTCAGGAACTTTCGATCGTCGGCTTATGTGTCGGCGAGGTGGTGCCAGCGGCGGCGAGGGGAGGGGAGGGGAGGGGGGATAGAGAGAGGGGATAGAAAATAAAATAATTATGGTTTGAAATTATATATGATTGATTTAAATAAAAAAATAATTTAAAAACTATTAATTAAAATCTGATTTATATATTATTAAAGTTGATTTTTGATTTATAAAAATGATATCTTAATAACTTGTAAGGTTGTAATTTCCTCAATCAATTATCCATTGTGAATTGAGTTGGGTTGAGCTCAGCTCAGCTAGCCCTCAAAAGGATTTCTTGATGGAAACCAGGGCATTTGGAACCTTGCACTGAATACGATAACAACAAAAATAATCTTATTTAAGTTATACTCGATCTTTGTACAATTAGTTAAAATATAAATCAATTTAGGATGTTTATCTTCCTTTATTCGATCGTATGATAGACACATTTGATACACCATACTGAATTAGAGGATTGAATTAGTAGGAATACGATTAGGGAATATAAAATGAATGGATCGTATTAAACTGGATTAAGAAGGATTATTTTAATATACTGTTTGGCTCTACACTGTAGATAGTAGACGTAACAAAAAATAAAAAATATGACAATATTTCTTTTATAAGATTTTTTTTTGTAACTTAATAAATGAATTTTTTACTAATAATTTCTTCTATGATTTTTTTTATGAGTAAATTATTTATTTATAAGTGGATTTTTAGCTCAAAAGTGCAATTTCTACTTAAAAATTTATAAATAAAAATGTACATAAGTGAAAAAATCACTTATAAGTAAAAAAAATCATTTATAACTACAAAGTATGTGAATAAGTGAAAAATTACTTTTGAGTGAAATTTAACTTATAAGTTAGAAAAAATCTTATATGAGTAGAAAATTATGTATAAGTTGAAAAACTTTCATTACTAAAATATTTACTTATAAGTATAAAATCACGTATAACATAAAACTTATTTATATGTAAAAATAAAAATAAAAAAATATCCCATAAGTAAAAATACTAAGTATAACTAAAAAGTTAAATTATAAGAAAACATTACTTAAAATACATCAAATTAGTTTTACGTGAAAATTTGCTTCTAAGTGGAAAATACTAATAAAGACTGGCTCAAGGATACCTCGACAGTGGCCTTGGGCCTCAGGGGCCACAAGAAAAATTAAAAGCCCAGAATGATTGTTTTTGTGGTAATTACATAAAATCAGATATTAAGTTTAACCTTTTTGAAAATCAGGTTTTGATTTTACAATTAATACTAATAATAATATTTTAAATTAAATTAATGTATATACCCACCCTACTATCTACCCCACCAAATTTATTTTAACAATAAAACCCAATACAAACCCTAATCCATTTCATTTCATTTCTCTCCCCTCTCACCCGGCGTTGCCACCGCCACTGTTAGTCGCCTCTTTCCCTCCCCCTCCCCTGCTGCGAATTGCAACAGCAATGTCGTTGCGTCGCAGCGACACTACTGACCGCTGCGCGTCACAGGCAGCGACGTTGCTTTTGCGTCGCAGCGACGCTGCTGCAGGTCAGCAACGTCACTGTGCTTCACAGGCAGCAGCGTCATAGATCTTAGGTTTTGGCAAATCTTGTTGTGATTTTGGCAGATCTTGGGTTTTTCTTCATTCTTAGATCTTCTTGTTAGTGATTTGCACATTGTGTTGATTTTTTGAAAATGAAAATGGTGAGGTGGTGGTTGTGGCGTAGTATAGATTGAAATAAAGATGGTTGTTGAGGTGTGGGAGGCTGCGTGGTTGTCGAGGTGGTGGTGCAGCGATTTTTTTGGTTGTGATTTTGCTGTGGTTTCTCGGTTGTGGATTGTGTGTGTGGCTGTAGCAGTTGGATCTCTATGCGTGGCTGTTGGTGGTTGCCGAAAGTGTTATTGTTGGTCGGTGGTCAGGGTGATGTATGTCTCAGCGGCATTGGGCGGATGGGATGAAGAGTTTCTATGACCAACTATTTGGTCGATATGTGACCAAGTAGTTGGTGGTGTATTGGGATTGGGGGACGGGGTGTGTTGGGTGTATGTGACCAACTATATCGATCTGTGACCAAGTTTTTGTGGTGTAGTGAGATTAAGAGACAGGTGTTTGGGTGTATGTGACCAACTATATAGTTTTCTGTGGTTAACTATTTAACTGTGACCTTAAAATTCGTTAATCTGTGACTCAAAATATAATTTGTGACCAATTAAAAATCTGTGACCTATTAATTTTTTCAATTGTGACCTCAAAATAATGTGACCAATTAATTTGATGAGTTGTGACCGAAAATTAA